ACAATCTCTGGTTAAAACATAGTATGATATAAGGATCTTTCGTACAAATAATAAGCATTCGTACTTTATTCTAAACTATGATTGATCCTTCCCACTTATGTTTTATTTTTTTTTAAAATTGTTGAATACTTACAGTGCGTTTTAATGTGAAGTTCATTGATGCTGAATAGTTTTGTTATTGGTTTAACTTTGTATATTACATTATTACGTATACGTAATGTGAAATTCAGAGTCTAATTTTTTTAAACGTATTTTTTCATAAAAGATGTGTTAACTTCTTTCGGATTTGGTCACTACTCCACTAGATGTTACTAATTTAAAATAATTTGTTTTTGACTAAAAAGGCCAAAATAAGCATTGTTTGAGGAAAGATTAAGTTTTTTGTCTTTTAAACCATTCAATTAGTGCCAGTGTGGGTACAACTACATATGACTCCTTGTGATTTCATGAAATATCGGTGTCATTCAATACCACAATTCCAATCATATGAGATTCAATCATATTTGTCCACTAACGGTTTTCTAACTTACTCATAAAAACAGATATATATAAATATATATATTCAAATAATCAAAATGTGACTTCATTTTATTAAAAAATAAATGAAAATGTATAATTGAGGGCAGAGTTTTTTGCACTAAGATAAAAGATGGAAAGAGGTCTTAATACTATGGCTCTTATGGGCAGTCTCGTATTCTTTTACTCGTTTTTCTTGGAAGTTGGAACTCTCTCATCCTTTTTTTCTCTCCTCTTCACGTTTGTTATCCTTTATATTAGCATTACCATGTTGCTTGTAGTTGTAAGTAAATCGTTATTTATTCAGCTTAATTATTTTGGTTTTTCCTCGACTAATTGCAAATATTCATATATGAGTATAACAGCCGGGCACGTATTAAAAAAAAAGAAAGAATACTTGTATTGTATAGTCAATGTCATACACATTTACATCTAATATACCCCAAAAACAAAAACAAAAATCCCACAAAACAATCATTTTTAGTTTTTTGGTTCACACCCACAAAACAAGATTTTTCCTCCACAATCAACGGCTTTATGCAAACAAAGAAAACAAAAATCGGAAATGGCAATTTCTGTTTCGTTTGTTGTTATTTACAATGATGAATGATGTTGTATTGTTGTGTTGTCTATTGCATAAACTATACGATAGTTCTTTTTTATTTTGTACATCCTAATCCATTTCTAAAAAACAATTCGTTCCTTATTATAAAGAAAAAAATTGACCTGGTGATTACAAACTATATAATATATTAAAAGCTAAGAGGATAATGGAAAGCCTAATTATTGAAATAAGATTCAAATAAAGCGTTGCGAAAGTTATAGTAATACTTTTTCATAGACTAAATTTTTGTGAGCTGGTAAATGAACTGGCTTGCCCATTGACGTACTTCACGACTCAATCAAAACCACACTAATCATTCCCTTAATAAAATTTTTGGATAGTGATTATTTTTCTCTTTATTAAAGTCTTGGATTATTTAAGGTGCACAATTTTTTTTTAACAATTTAGTACTGCCGCACAAAAATAGGTTTTCTAATTATACGATTTTGATAATGGAACGATTCATGTTTTGTTCGTTAATCAATTATTAAGTTTTCTTGCACACAACTGGAGTATCAAATTTAATTTTATGTTGAGTTGTCCTAACAAGGTAGCTCGTTATAGGTTTTCTTTTTGGGGTCATTATGCTAGTTTTGATTAAATCTCGTTAATTAACTTTGAAAATCACATACGTCAGTGCCCACTTTATTCCTCCAGTTCAAAAACCAATTCTACAAATCCTTATTTGTATTGTGTTCTATGCTTTTCTTATAAAATGTTTATCGTAATGCAGATGTTTTGAATTTGATCTACAAAAAATAGATGTTTTAACTTTATACATCAATCAATGTTCCAGATTCTTGATTCATTTTGTCATAATTGTTTCGAGTATATCAGAACACTTTTGTAAGCTAATGTATATCTGAAAACAAATGTTACAATATACTCTATAATATAAATACCAGTAGAGAAACTATGGGACAAAGTCCACAATTCCTGGTTATAAAATAGATTTCTTATATGTTCATCATTCACTCAGCAACCAATTATATCTAAAACTAATATTTATGCGAAAATTTGATCAAACCTCAATTGTATATTTGTAATGCAAGGCTGTGTCCTCTGCTTTTATTATTTCCTTCTGCTTACACAACAAAATTATCATTTTAGCTTTTGGCCTGTTTTGTTTCTATTCTACAGCTCGTGATGTAATCAAATCTAGTGTTACACAAATTAATAATTACTATAACCAAAAGAGCTAAACCAGTTTCTTATCTTCTTATAAAAAACAAATAACTAGAGGGAAAGAGATTAAGACGTGGCGAAACCTTAGGAGCTGTCAGAAAACGCCGAAAAGACATTTGCCTAAATACAAAGCATAATCCTGATTAGTGTCTTAGTGATTAGTATGTCTCTTAATGACTTTAACTTAACACAAACATGGCATGTGCCAGCTATGGCCACACACACGACCACTTAACTAGTACGACTAATCTATCGTTTCCACCTTTATTCATGCTTTTAATCCTTAAATCAATTTACGAGTACTAAGTAGATATTTAAGGTTTAATGAAAGTACACAGCTGCAAACTGTTAACTGTGAAAGTCTTTTTTTTTTTTCCTTCTTACATCAATTGAACTCCTTAGTTCTTACTTCTTACAACCCTTTTTCAAATTGTAATTATACTTTTTTCTAACTCAAATATATTATTCTAAATGATCCTTTTTTTGTGGAATTATTCTAAATGATACTAATCAATGCGTAATAAGCACCCATTGGGGTTCTTTTTATTAGATTCTTGTCCTCATTGTATGGTTTCTATTTTGGACGATGATGCTCGGAGGATCACGATCTCTCGACATGTTCGATTGTAATTTTTTTAGTTTTTTTTATATAATGGAGACTTAGGTCTCCTCTCTCCCACCAAAAAAAAAAATCAATGCGTAATAATCCGTGAAAGCTATAATTAGTTATTTCCTAGCTTGGAAGATAGAGGAAGACTAAAACTCTTAATGAGGTTCATCCCCTCTGCTTATGGCTAATCACCGGCTCATAATGCAAACAAATTAGAATACTTAAGGTGATAATTGATTTAAGGAAAATCAAAACCTAAAAACAAAAATAAAAGATTTATTTAAAATAACACAAAATACAAAGCACAATGAAGGAGACGTACCGTGGGTCCGTAATGGTCCGTAGGTACAGCGAAGCACAATGTCTTCTTTATGTTAAAAAAAAATTATGTCTTCTTTAATGGACCAAACCTTCGGACAGAGTTAGAGGTTCCCTGTACTGTTGACTGTCCTTTGACCAGAAGCCAACACAGCGAGTCGCGAGAGGAAATATTAGGATCTTCTATAGCGAATGGCTTAATTGAGTAGTTACTTCTCTTCGTGTACAATCATGGTCACTTCCACTATCTAAATATATCAACATGGTTGGATCAGTTAGAGATTCTTGTTGTTTGGTAGAAATCAAATTAGTTATAAGCAAAAATAGTGAACGAGGGCAGAAAGAGAGCACAAAGCATACATTTCGATGGGTGGTCTGGTCATGCAATTATTGAAATCTTAAGCAATAATGAACTATGTAGGAGCAAAGAAGAGTTTGGTTATATGAAGTGGGAAAAATAAAATGAAAGAGAGATCGGAAGATCCTTAAAATCCAACAAGTGGGGTATGTACGTACCGCATGAGGGGGATGCACCCTACCCTCCATATCATGCACTTGATTGACCCACCTACATATATGTTTTTGCTTATAATTCATTTCCGCATATTTTTGTTGCTAATATTTACTATATGTGTATTGTGGCTTAAAGAGTATTAGGTTTCAAGAACTAGATGAAACATATGTATTATTATTATGTGTAGAATTTGTTATAATTGTGTCAATGACTAGACCGAATTTGAAGAGAGATGCACATCATGTTAGACCAAGAGTAACTATCGCAAATGGAATTCATTGTTTTTATATAATTCACATTCAATTTCAAGAAGTATAATGATTAGCTTTTTTACATATTAGTTTGGCTGCTTATATTTTCGATAAAATTTCTATTTTGGCTGCTTGTTGTTGTGAGAATAATAGTTTTCAAAAGCCAGACTAAACAAAAAAAAAAATGGAGATGGGGCATCGTCGCACATGGGGGCATGGACACATTTCCAAAACTACTAACAAGAAAACAAGTGTTTTGGTACATCGAAACATATATTTATATCTCTCTGGATATTAAAATTTAAGTTGTTCGGGGATACAAAAGCATCTTCGGTTACCATTTAACTGCTACTGGTGAAGGAGAAGCTTATTTTATACAATATGAAAATATATGTTTCGTTTTATCAATCATATATCAAATAAATTGTTAATAAGCATATATTAGTTTCCATTATTTCTTTTATTTTTCTAGCCACCCATGTGGTGGGTATTACTGTATTACTTTAACCGAACCCTAACATTGAAATTTACTTAAAAAGTTAAAAACTTAGTTAAGAACTTAAATTTGGTTTTCTCTTGGCTAATATATATGGATGAATGAATGACTATTCACATCTAATTAAATATCTCCTTTTTTTTTGTCAACAACTTATAAATGGCTTTAGTTTTGCCAACAAATATATAAATGTCTTGTCAGTTTTACTGTTGTATAAATCTATATAAAAAGAAATGTGTACGTATAGTCAACAAAAATGATGCTAAATACATCAAAATACGAATCTTATAAATCTGAGGTCCAAGTTTTTTCTTTACCATAATGGGATTCACTAACACAATTATTAAACCCAAGACTTTAAATAAGAACCATAAAAATAATAACAGACCATAATCAAAATAACAACAAATCAATGACTAATACTAATAATAATTCAAAAAAAAAAAGGAAGAAGAAGAAAGAGAGAAGACAGTTTCGTAATTAACTCAAAAACATGGTGGCATTGATATATTGCCTACACTATATAAACTTGGTCTCTCCCAAAACTCTCAAAGCCCCTCCTCTTCCACCTGAACATTTTCTCGAGAAAATATATATAAATCAGAGTTCCCTTTATAATTTGACTTCACTCGTGGCAGTAAACAAAAGGAAAAAAAAAAATGGCAGGAGGTCAAGTAAAATGCAGCAAGATCCGTCACATTGTGAGACTGAGGCAAATGCTCCGGCGATGGCGCAACAAAGCCAGGTTATCTTCGGTCAGCCGTTGCGTACCGTCGGATGTTCCATCAGGACACGTGGCAGTCTGTGTGGGAAGCGGTTGCAGGAGATTCGTGGTGCGCGCGTCGTACCTGAACCACCCGGTCTTAAGCAACCTTCTGGTTCAAGCCGAGGAAGAGTTCGGTTTCGCTAACCAAGGACCGTTGGTTATCCCATGCGAAGAATCGGTTTTCGAAGAAGCGATCCGGTTTATATCTCGGTCTGATTCGTCTCGGTCGAGCCGGTTTACTTGTCCCGAAGACCTCCAGAAATGCAACGGAGGAGGAGGAATCAAACTCAAAAGCAAGATGGATCTGTTGATGATTGAATCTCGACCGTTGCTTCACGGCGTCGTTGAGAAAGCCGTCTGGTGAAAATGTTTTACGTTTTTTAAGATCCGACGGGGTGAAGAAACCTGTACGTGACGATTCTGACCCGGTTCGATTCGGAACGAGTACAGAAGAAGGAAGGCGAATTTTTGGATTAAATCGTCGTTGACTCGGCTGAGCTACCACCGAGTCGGCTGGTACTAATTTTTTTCGTTTTGAATTTTGATTATTATAATGAGAGCATTCGAGTCAGATGATGATAAAAAAAAAAAAAAAGGAGATGGCGGTAGAAGGTGGGTGAGTCGTGCCACCGAGTCATCCCGGGTTTGGAATCCGAGTTTCTCAATCAAAGGGGATGTAATTGTAAATAAGACAAATCATGAAAAGAAAAAAGAAAGAGTGATTTGATTCAGTGCTTTTTTTAGATTCGAGAATATTGTCCTCTTTTCTCTGTAAATTCCCTAATTATTATTTTTTTCACAATCCAAAATTTATGCTAATTACTTTTTAAAAAAACAGTCATTATTCTAAAACCAAACCACCGGTCAGTGGTAACAAAGTACAATTCTGTTCCATAAAACATACTACAACAGTTAAACATACTATAACTCCTTCTGCCAAATTATCAAAAAAAAAATATATATATTACTTTGCCAATAAATGGAAAAAATGTCTGTTTTTTTTTTTCTTTTTAACTTTTGTAAAGAGAAAAATAATCGGAGGTCCGTCCGACCAAGGCCATGTGAGGGAGAGACTATAAGCCCACATTTTGATCTGTTAGGCCTGTGTCTCTGTGTGTGTGTGTAAGCTCTCTCAACTTTTCATGTGTTTTTTTTGTCTTTAACTTTACTTCATACAGTAAAAAAAGTACAGTCCTACGGTACTACACAACAAATCGTTTTTACATTTATTTATTGTTTTCTTATGTGTTCTTTAGAGTTTTTTGTTTTTATCTAAACCCTAAATTATTGCTACAACTCTAAAGGTAGTAGTTTTAGATTATTGCCACTGCTCTCTCGCGATCTCTAACTATAATAATCGCCATCTAGCACTATTAATATGTCTACGTTGGTGCATGTGAAGAAATAACGAATGGTTTTAACTCAATTATATATCTCATTAATTCTTTTTATAATATTGTTTTTTTCTTTCCGTATAGTATCAAAACTATCAAAACTATTCCCTTTTTATTAATGAATTGCATCACATTTTTTATAAAATGACAATTGTTGTCTTGTTTAATTCTACTATTATATTTATATCTATATATACAAATTCGAATATATGCGGCGGATTAAGTAATTTAGTTGGTGTCGAATATTACAAACATATGGGAACAGTTTAATATGGTCAATGCGAAATAATTGCGGTCAAAAATGAATAACTAGTGAGTTAAAAAGTAATATAATACTAGTTAATGCTTTTTTTGTGTGAAATATATACGTATATATAGTTAATGCTTTATTCGTTAGCATAATAAAAAAAATTACAATGTAAACTCTTAAACGTAACTTAATTACAGTAGTATATTGAACACAAGGTCGTGGCCAAACTCCTTTGGTGCGACACAATCGTGCCGAGCGCAATTACAAATATGGAAAATTTGGATTCAAAGTTCATTTCATATACTTCTCACTTGGTTTTGCATTAGATAGTTGATTTTTTTTGGCGAACAATTGTGTAGATGTGTAATTATCAGCCATCTGTTTTCACTTTTCAGTTACACATAAAATTGTAATTATTTTGAAAATGAAATGCACTTAGAGTCTAGAGATGGTAAACATTACAATACTTTCTAAAAGTTATGAAAATACCATATATGTATTTATGAAAATGACCCTGTTCCCATCCTAAACCCCACAAAATATACGATATCTGGCATCTGTTCCAACATTTTTTCTACCTAAAAATATTCACCTCCAACAGAAAAAAAAGAGAATACTTTACAAAACTTTATTTTCAGCCCATACATACATGCATATATACTGGCCCTCTCTATGCGTACGACCGTTGTACCGCCACTTGTTAATCACTAATCACATTAATATATGTATATATGATAAGAAATGGAGTTATATTATAAGTTTGTAGTGGATTCGTTTATATTAAAAGAATGTATTATTAGATAGAGAAACTTGTAATTGTTTTAGTTTTTCTGTTCATAGAAAAAAATGAAGAGGAGATTCTTTGAAAAGACAGCGAAGAGAGACCCATTGGGAGCCAAAGATCCAATCACAGGAACTTGTTTGCTTTCTATTTTTGCCCTTCATATCTACTCATTTTACACTCCTTTACCTTGCGTTGCGCTCATTGTTTTTTCTTTTCTTTTTCCAATAAATAATTGTGGAAGGTTTTTCAGTTTTTGTATGCCCCCCAAAAAATAAAATAGCATTGTCGTGGTTGCATGTATCTATGCTATTTGTAGTGCTTCGAGAGAAAGAAAGTAAAAACTATTATCATTGACCACTTCTCGTTGAGATTGGATTCTTCACACATGGTTTCCGTTAATACTCTTTTGCGGATCAATTTCATTCTCGCCCACGTTAACTTTTTTTTTTGCTAATGCGTTAATGTTTAGCATTCATTCCAATGATTTTTTTGGACTTTTATTTATTTCAACTAGGGCAAGAGGCAGAGGAAACCATGTTCACGCAAATTATAAGAGTTTGACTTGAAATTTTGGAAATGAAAGAGATAAGAAAAGAATCTTACTATATTAGGATTAGGGCTAATTCCAGTGGGTACGTATGTGAAAGAGAAGAGTGAAACCAGCGGCCTTTTTGTCTTTTTCTTCAAGTATTCATAGCGTTATTCGTTTCCAGATGTATTCTCTTCAAGTATTTGGTTTTATTAAAGGAAAATTACCTACAATAACCTACCCTTTTCAAAAAATAGCTATGATAACCCACTTCATTTTTTATTTCTTACATAACTCACTTTTAATGTCAAGATTTTTTTAATTCCAAATTTATCCTTGTTAAAGATTTGGTATTAATTTGTTTAAACATTTTGTTCTTATGCTCTTCTATTTAATAGATTTTGATTTCCTTTGTCTAAAATAAAATCGTTGGAAACAATGAACATATGTGTCTCTTGTGTTTTGTTTTTTAATTAGCCAATGGACTTTTTAATATTAAATTTTGCTTAGTTGGGCTAATGGACCTTTTATATTTTTTTAAAAAGTAAATAATAGAATAACCTAAACATAATGAAGACAAAAAGACAAAAAAACGTTTGTGTTGTGCCACCACCGGCTTCTCAGCTCGCCGACAATTTCCAGGTCAATCTACAAGTATGAAAAATATATTATTTGAAGTCTACAAATAATGCAAAGACTTTACCGAAGTCTATGAATATCCGCAGAATAACTTACAAGTCTGACATAAATATTTTTAAAGTCTACCAAAGTCTACAAAACCTTGGTAGACTTAACTGAAATCTAGCAAAATCTCGCAGACTTTACCAAAGTCTAGCAAAATCTCGCAGACTTTACCAAAGTCTACAGATCTCCGTAGACTAACATATAAGTCTGGAAAATATATTTTTAAAGTCTACCAAATATTTGTAGACTTTATCGAAGTCTATGGACTGACTATAAGTCTTTACCGAAGTCTATGAATATTCGCAGATTAACCTATAAGTCTAACAAATATATTTTCTAAATCTACCAAAAATGCGTAGACTTTACCGAAGTCTACCAACACTTCATAGACTTTACGGAAGTCTACCGAAATATACGGATCTCTGTAGACTAACCTTTAAATCTGAAAATTATATTTTTAAAGTCTATCTTTAATTTATAGACTTTACCAAAGTCTACGGACCTCAATAGATTAATCTATAAGTTTGACAAATATATTTTTAAAGTCAACCGAAAATTCGTAGACTTTACCAAAGTCTACCGCAATTTCGTAGGCTTTACCAAAATTCGTAGACTTTACCGAAGTCTACCAAAACTTTGTAAACTTTACCAACTAATCTAGAAGTCTAAGAAATATATTTTTTTAGGTCTACTAATAATTGGCAGACTTTTACATAAATCTGCCTCTTATGTACAGATTTTAGTAAATTTGATGATAAATACAAATCTACCAAAATAAATGGAGACTTCAAAACATGGCAAACTAACTATACTTTTCATATTCCACATCAAGATGCTTTGAGAAGAGTTACCTGTATCTCTATGAACATTGAATACTGTAGATTGAGAGCGCAATTTTGTTTGTTATTCACCATTAGTTGTATGCAAACATCCTACGAATCAAAACCATATTAGTAAAAAAAATCTGTACAATATGCAATACAATATAATAGATGATTTGGTATGAATCACAATAAAACTAATTTTTTAATACAAACTAAATATAACTTACCGTTTCCACTCCAATGATTATCAGATTTAGAGAACCACAAATATAAGATAAACCAATGCTTTGACCCGATAATACAAGTATCTCTTAATATTTCAGAAGATGAACAGTGGATACAGCAACTATGCCGTTGAAGAAGATGAGTGACTTAATTGCATGACTTTTATAATTCCAAACGATTGGTATTTTTGAAAAATATTTCCTTTTTTATTTGATTCCCTTATTAATTGTTTCCTTTTCTTGTTTTTAATTTTCGATTTTATAATTTAAATTTTTAAATTTTGTTTAAACAATATTCTGAACATTTATTAATATTTTAGGTGTGATTTTTACAATAATTAAAATGGAAAATATATATGTGGAAGGATAATATGGTAAAAGTGTGCTATACAAATCTTTTAAAATCTTGATAGGTTAGTGTGGTTGTTTTCAATAAATTATAGGCTATTATAGCAACTCTCCCTTTATTAAAATATATATATATGATCCAAAGCCTTTAAGTTTGAAATATATATCGTTAACGATTCAATTCCAAGTAAAGGAAATATTCCTAAATATAAAGTTAATTAACATGTCGTACTTGAATATGAATGAACTAGAATATGACATGATCATATATTGCACAAATCTTCTTCTATCTAGCGAATTGGAATAGTTACTATATATGGGATAGGATATATAGGTTGAATACATTTTCTCTCATCAGCACGACCATACTATAACTAATCTTCCCCTGATGAAACGAGTAGACAAACCAAGTCTAGTGTAATTTTAATTATAGAATGATCTCTCTATAAACTTATGAACCCAATTCACAATCAATTCATATACCGTATACTGTATACAAGAATAGGTATGACAATTCTAGATATATAGGCACATAGAAAGTCTCCAATATTTATGTGCATAAAGCTAAGATGTCGATATCGGATTCTCGATCTCGTTTTATTTTTAATATGTTTTAATCTTTTTATTTTTTGATATAACAAACTAAAAGAGGAAAGGAAAGTAATAAATGAAATGAAAACCCACGAAAATGTGAAAAGTCATAGAA